GGTTACCGTCTTTTGTAATCGGGCAGTTACTTGTGCAACCCTCTAAGCATGACATGCATACAGATATGCTATACAGTCTAACTGTTTCAGCTCTTTGGTGAATCTGCATTACCCAGTTATCAACCAACAGCTACATGAAGTAATTGCACCTTGTTTTATCAATGACATTCCCAGATCACTGAAGTATTAACTATTTTTTTTCTTTAAAATTACATTTGAGTTTTATTCCTAAAGGAAAAGGCCACCACATAAATAGTCATGTCTCAACAAAAATAACTGCTTACAATCTGAAAAAATATATAGTTTTTGAGTGGACTCATTAATAACACACATAAAAGGTCACTACATTTTACAAGTTGTAATTGAGAAAACTGCGACAAACCGAGGAGGACTAAGCCATCCTCTCATTAAAAAAAAACAAAACAAAAAGAGAGGTCATTGGACAGATTGGATAAGGAGAAAGTGAAGCATACTAGTATTCTAGTTGGCAAATGCCACACTGCTGTTTAAGGCACAGCTGTGAGCAGATGGAATAAAGTGCTTTGATAGAAGAACACATGACATTTAACTACATTTGGACTTCATAGAAGTCATTATGTGACATTTGCATTTCAGTTTTTTTATTTGATATGCATTAAGTGACATGGTGTGGTTGAGAAAAATTCAAATATAGATTTATGTTAAAGACTTTTGTGTTCAAAGATGGATATGTAGCATTTTGGTTTAGAGCCTCATTCAGGTTATAATTCAACTAAGAGTTACTTTATTTTATTTATATATATATTTGTCATTATTTGTTGAAGACACTAACTATTGTGACACGATAACATGACAGCAGATCACCATTAGAATCAAACTTTTAGTCCAGCCTTATGTTATTTTATTAAGCTTATACTATATGTTGGCCTCATTTTCTGTGTTATGTGTTGCTGATTCCTACATAATGGACACACTTATGTACTGAAAAAAATTAAACTGGAAGACAATTTTTCCTTTTTCCACTTTTAAAAATGTATGTGTTCACTGACATGCTACAGCCTGGGTAATATTTTACTGTTAACTGTTTGAAACCGTAGTAAAAGGAAAAAATGTTAAATGTCAGAGTAAGTGGTAGTGATCACTTCTCAGGAGATTTGTTTGTGTGTATGTGTGTGCATGCGTGAGTGCTGGATGGATGGGTGGGTGTATGATCATAAATAGAAACATTTACAAAATAGAAATTAGGAAACTGCACAACGAGTCAAGTGCAGGGAGGACATGTGGCTGCTATTTTACTGAAATACTGGCCACTCTGTTACTTCCTTTGCTGTGATGGTAACTCTCAGTGGTGTGAATAAATGATATAGCATACCACTTGATCAACATAACAAATTGAGGACTGGAAAAGTGACATTTTGTGCAATGACAAAGTAGGAACCTTGGTTTGTACTTTACAAAGTTGGAATCAGTTCCTTTTTCCCCCCCTCACACCTTTGCACTGTAAGGTATTAGAAAATCTTACCTTACTAGTATTTGTCACGCACACCATCTCCTCCCAGCACTCTTTGGTTGTAATGTGGGTGTTTAAGGAATAAAAGCTGATTCTACTATAACACTTAAGTGTGAGTTACTCGATACAGGTGGGAACTAAATGCTTTAAAATGGACCAGCTGAATTTATAGTGTATTGACGCCGCCCCTGGCTCTGCACGTTCTTATGTACATACAATTTTGCACTTAACACCAGTGGTCAGTAGCAAGTACACTTGACTCACCTGTACTATGCAACTATTGGGACAATCTGTATGGTGTACATCCCTGTGATGAGATAGTGTTGTTGCGTGCAAAATGCAATAACAGGTTGTTTTTTTATGACGGTAAATGCTAATCTTTTTATTTGAATTGTATTGTTAATTGGTTTACATTAAAAAATAAAAATCGGTTGATTATGCTTATGTGTCTTATTTTTGATTAGCTATTATTAGTTGTTCTTTGGTAAATGGGTAGTAACCACTTGCCTGCTACTATGTGGATTTTCGAGATATTAAAACTTATGAACGTAGACATTTGTAGACATTTGCAGCTTTAAATCCTGGAATTTTTGAGCCCTGGACCTTTATGGATTGGACATCCCACAGATTCTCAGTCAAAATACGATTTGTGGAATTTGTAGAACAACCTTTTGTCATGTCCTTCAAAGATTTTATGCTACTGAACCATTGTTGCTCTATCAGAATACATTTTGCTCTTTCTTTTAGTGTTTAGTTACATTTACATTTACATGAATGTTACGTTTCATAGCAGAACATTCACCAGAATAGCACAGAGTTCTTCTGTGTTTTGCTGCCATCTCTTTTAGGTAAAAACAACTGCAAACACACCTGAAACTGTCAGTGACACCTGAAACATCTCAGAGGACGCGCACATTTTGATCACATTTTTCATCAATCAGTAATTTAAAAAAACAAAATAATCCACCTTAGATGTTACTTTAATAATAATCAGCACAACAGCATCAATAGCCTAATTTGTTTTGTTTTATTTCCCTAACAGCCCTCCCCATCCTTATTTATATTAGTTTCACTTCATATTTTTCACCAACTTGTCTGTGCCCCACCAGTGGGGACCCACCCAACCCCTCACAGTTTCAGAACCACTGCTGTCAGGAGATATTCAGTATTACAGACTGCACCTATCTGTGTCTTCACTGACACGGCTGATTACTGCAGTTGTAGTAGTTTTTACTTTTATTCAGCACTTTTGTCTTCATTACTTTCCAGGCTGCATTTTCTCACTTCAATTAGATTTTTGTTGGCAAGTTTTATGGAAACACATTATAATAACCACACACTATTAAGCATTTGCAAGATGTTAGTTAATATGTATTTCATCGTCAAAGTATTACTTCTTAGTATGTCGTTTATAAACACTGATATAAATGCTGTAACTGTTCCTTAACAAGCTCACCTATAACGTGTTCAACGACAGCATTTTTATATTTTATAAATAACGGATTAACAATTTCTAAATACAGTTACATCAATTACATCAAGCATAAACAAGTGTTTTATAAATACTTGTATTACATTGCAATTCATGAATAATTAAAACAGTTACCAGTCGTTAGTAAAGCATTTTGTGTGAATCTAAAGTGAGGACAATCTATGTCTGACAAAGCTTTACAAATGAAACTGTTAGCACTCTTTAATATGGTTATCAGCCCACCCTGTGCAGCTATAACAGCTTCAACTCTTCTAGAAAGCTTTCCACAAGTTTTAGGAGTGTGTTTATGGGAATTTTTGTCCATTCTTCCAGAACCGCATTTGTAAGATCAGACACTGATGTTGGGCAAGAACGCCCGTCTCGTAGTCGCCACTCTGATTCATCCCAGAGGTGTTCTATCGGCACTTCTATCAGCACTCTGTGTAGGCCAATTAAGTTCTTCCACACCAAACTCGCTCATCCATGTCTTTATAGACCTTGCTTTGTGCACTGGTGTGTAGTCATGTTGGAACAGGAAGGAAATTGTCCAAAATGCCTTGGAATGCTATAGTATCAACAGTTCATTTCACTGAAACTAAGGGGGTGAGCAAAACTCTTTCAAATCAACACCATACAATAATCCCCACTCCACCAAACTTTACATTTTGCACAGTGAAGTCACACAAGTACCGTTCTCCTGCCAACCACCAAACCCAGAGTCATTCTTTGGATTTCCAGATGATTTTCAGTCTAGAGAACAGGTTTCGACGGCTCTAGAGTCCGGTGATGGCGTGCTTAATATAACTGCACCTGATTTTTTGGTGGTGTGAGGTTTAAACGCAGTTGTTCAGCTACAAAAACCTATTTCATTAAGCTCTCTACACACTGTTCTTGAGCTACACATGAAGTTTAGAGGTCTGTAGCAAAAGTTGGCGACCTCTGCACACTATGTGCCTCGGCGTCCGCTGACCTTACTACTGTAGTAGTAGGGTAAATATTTAGTAGTGAGCAAATTTCACAACTGGACTTGCTGCACAAGTGGCATCCTGTCACAGTACCACACTGAAATCCACTGAACTTCTGTGTGGGTTCTCAATCACCCTGGTCATTTTCGTCTAAGGGACTACCATGGGAAGAAAGTTTTTTGAAAGTTAAAGAAGTGGGTATTCGTCAGGGTTTAGAGGAATTAATGTACAACACAAACACCGAACCAACAGCCATTTACATATCTCAGTTTCAAAACACATAAGCACCAAAGCCTTGTGACCAAAATGATAAAGAATAAAAGTAATATTGTTTATATATAGTTTTTGGTTACTTTTTATAAAGTCTATTTTTTTTAATTTCAGTTTACTATAAAATTTTCCCCAACACATTTTAGTTCTTAGTTTAGTTTTAGTTAACTGTAATGTCCTTGGATCAGTTTACGAACTAAGCAGCATGAACCATACACTGTCTGTGGTTTCCTCAAGGGGGTAGCAGGGAGCCACACTGCAATTTAATGATTATGCTGTGCTTCAACCTCAGCACAGCCCTGTCCCATTAAGTTTTTGTAGAATTATTTTAAACCTTGCCTAATAATGGTTCATGTTTCATTTTTTAAAATTAATAGAACAGGTTGTTTTCTTTAAACGGGTCGACTTACTAACCGTCTACCTATTGAGAGACCAATATCCATGTGCAGAAAGATCAATTTCAAGCTTTAAAACTATCCATTTGTAACTGACAACATCCACATCTACTTGCGCTTACATTTTCATATGTTGTGCCTGCATTTGGCACTTTAAAATCAGTTCAATACCTTCTGAAAATATACCATTTTGGTTCGAGGTTTTAGTTGATCTTATGCGAAGAATTATGGATATTCAGACCATGCGGTGTAAAATAAAGACTCGGAAGAATCGGAATTAACACATTACAGGTAAAAGAGCTTAATAAAAGTGGTGAACTGAAAAGGGCTGATACTTGTTGCTGTCGCTGGGCGGGCCTAACGCTGTAGTGCGCCATGCTGGGGGTGTCAATTGAAGGCGAGGAAAAAAACCGACTGGGAGTTACCTCAGCGCTTTCCGAGATATGAGATCTGGCCGTTTTCCAGTCGGTGCACTTTTTTATTAAAGAAGAAAACCCCGAAAATCACGGGGCAAAAAAAAAGAGCGAAAGAGACGCACACGCATTTGAAGAGGTCACCCAGAAAAACAGCGTTCAGCGGCTTTCTGCCGGCGGATCAGTCGGAATCTGCGGTGTACGCTCGGAGTCTCTCTCCCCCAACCCCCCCGTGCGCGCGCGCGCGTGTGTGCGTGTGTTTACAAGTGTTTGAACGACTGCCAAAAGAAGAAGGGAGGAAAACGCCAAGGAAGGAGGGATGGTGGACAATTCAAGCAGTAGTAAGGCACAAATGGTGAGTCGGGGTTCTGCTTCTCGCCCTTTTGCACTTTCCTAAACGGCAGCGAGCTGAAAACGCTCCAATTGTTTTTTTATTTTACGGCATTGGCTCGTTCAACGTTGTAAAATTCAAAGGAAAAAAACTTTTTGGGGTAATCTGACTTTTGGTAGGTTACTTTTATTTATTCATTTGATAGTTTTTCGACAACACTGTAATAACTTTATTCATTTTTCCCTAAAGCGTTGTTGCATATTTGGCATTTGTTGGGAGTATCCTGAAATCGTATCCAGGTTTGAGGTTGCGGCACTTCACTATATAAACGCGGAAAATGTGTTTTACCAGTTTTTTTTTTCCTTTTCTTTTTTCACTTTGATGGTTGTTTATCTAGTTTAGTTAAACTAGTTGTTAATCTAGTTTATCGGGATAACTACTTTTATGATTGTAGATACATGAATATCCGTTTAACTTTCTTACTAATACACACCTCTTACTGCGTTGTCGTTTTGACAAATTACTGCAATACTTCCTTAAGAGCTTAGCAAAACTCAGAGTGGGTTACTGCATTTCAATTATTTCCTCTAATCTTAACAGAGATTTTTCTGTGGCTGATTACTGTAATGTTTACTTTCCAAACTCTTTATGTAGATTAGTCCTTTGTGTAAAAGTTTGATTTGGCTACTTTCTAGTCTAGGATTTTTTTTCCTGCTTTTATTCATGCTCAGGTTTTAAGAGCTCCAGTTACTAGCGAGATTTTTGTAATTTTTTTCCAATTTCTTTATTTAGCTTAAAGTAATTTAAATTTCTTGTTGGGATATTGTAGGTTTAAAAGTACACAAGCGTTTTGCTTCTTTAATCTGAGGAAAATCATGTGGGTGAATTATCCAAATTTGTTTGAGTTAATGTTTAAATCGGGCTTCTTTGGCTCCACTGTAGCTTTCAGGAGTAATTAGGTTTCAGTATACAGTAAGTCATCCATGACTCCTCTCTTCCTCTCACAGCCCGGAATGTCTCAGGAGCCTGGTGTGGCCTTTCCTCCAAGCACCTCCGCAGGAGGAATGAAACTAGAAGCAGTGATGGAGCAGCTCCAACGCCAGCAGCAGGCACGATTAGAAATGGAGCGCAAGGAGAGAAAGATACGAGAAGCCCACATCATGTACGCTCAGCAGGTTGCTGCCCAACAGGCCATCTTAGCAGCTGCTCGGGCTTCTGGAGCCAGCTTCATGGGGAAAGGCCTGCCTGGAGGCATCGCTGGTGGTGGATTGCCTCCCCGGGTGTCCAATCAGAGCAGTGTAGACTCAGACAGAGAGGATGACGAGGACAGAGGTCGGGATTCTGGAGATGAGGACGATGACAATGAGATGATGGAAGGGGATGAGGGCAGCGATGATGATGAGGGAAGCGCCAGTGGTCTGGAGTTCCTCCGCAAGCAAACCCTTGCTTTACAGCAGAATGCCTCACGAATCCCAGCCCGTCCATTTGGCAGTTACTCTGCATCGGCTCCCCAGAGGACCGCTTCCCCACCTGTTAGAGTGAAGCAGGAACCTGACGAGGGCCTGTCTCCTGCAGGGGCACACTCTGCTACTTCTCCTAATGGACAAGCTGACTGGGGCTTTGATGACCACTTTAGACAGGTTAGTATCTTGCCAGTTGTTGCCCTTCTTTCCACAGGATTTCCTTTGTAATCCATCTGATCCTATTATGTCCTTTCACAGTTATCTCATTCAAATATGAGTATAAAACTTCAGAATTTAAAATTGTCCATCTTTCCTTAAATATTGCAAATCAAGGCAGAATTTTTTTGTTTTGTTTTTTTTATACTTTAAATTATCACTATAGTTTACTGAGATCCCAATGACTATGTCCTTATACTGCTTGTCAGATTTCCATTTAGGGTCTTGTTTGTATTCTCAGTCCAGCCCCCTGCCGTGAGAGACAACTTAATCTTAACTGTGGCTTGAACCGCTCCAGGAGTATCTTTGTGAGTCCCTTCAAATCTCTGCGGAGGTTTGACCGCCGATTGGCTTTTGTGGCCAAAAAAAAACAAAACTACTAAGTGACTGCTGGCAGAGGGCCAGGCCAAGGCGCAATGTTTTCACGCTCACTAGTTCTCTCCCCATGCGCTCTCATTTTGTATGCCTCTCTCACTCTGTGTCCCTCTTGGCGCTTTGCTTGGGCTCTGGTTTGGCTCTGATCCAGGTAGTGGAGTCAGGCGAGACATAGCTGCTGTGAGGCTGTGGGTGGTTTGCTGGGTCAGTTGGAGGATTTCGGGTGGGTGGAAAGGTTGGATGTAGTACACAGCAGCAGCAGCAGTCTGTCACACCCCACTCTCGCCGCCCCAAGAGTCAGGGCTCTGTGCCAAGTGTAGGCTACTTTCACTTGAAAGTAAATATTGCCTCAGCACAGTCTTACTGAACTCTGGAATGCCAACTGGGAACCAAGCCGAGCTGCATGTTTTAGCATCATGGCAGGTTAAAGAGAGCGCAGCAGGCTGCGGGTGATATAAAAAGCCTTAGCTGTGCAGTAGTTGGCAGTGTCGCAAATATATCTGTGCTCTATCAGTGGGCTGAGGGTGCTGGACTATCATGTGTCGGGATTTTATTACTGTCTATTTAAAGGGAAATGTCTTTGCATGGTGCTTCTCTAGTTCACATGTCCAAATTTAGCTTTAGAGCGTGTACATTTGGTAATGACACGTAGAAGTACCACAGCGTGAGATGGTGAGAGAAGCCAGTATATACATGTTGTGGAAGGAGGCACAATGTTGTTTATATTGTTCATTTGCTAAAGTCACCGGCTTCACATGAATCTTCACACTTTATCGAAGGGATGCTGCTGGGACTGTTTAAATGGAGAATAAATGAAACTGTCTTCCTTTGTTCTTCAATATTTATTATTTTAAGTGCTGCTGAAACTTGGCAGTAGATGTCATTGGCAGTGTCAACACCAGCAGCCTTATTTCCTTTCGGGTTAATTTCCATGTCATGCCAGCATGAGACACCATTGACTGTCATCAGATGAACGTAGCCTGTGGGTTTAATGGCCATTGTTCTGGTATCCGGGCTAAGGGGTACATTTCCAAGAAGCTAATAGCTGATTGTTTTCAGATTGGACAATGTCTTCCTCTCTTGCTCTTCCCATGGACCGCTTGTGTGCATCGAGCCATATGCTCGCTCAAATGTGATTGGTCAGTGATACTTTCATTATGAAAGAAAACCAGAAAGCCTGTTTTTTTTTTCTTATGCCCATTGCCTATAGATTCTGCATAGTCATATACAGAATCTGTACACAGAAACACACCCCTGTTCCTGTTCTTATCAGGATAATTTTACTCTTACAGACACTCTCATTGATTCTACTCTGAATGAAACCAGGTATGTGTGCAATTAGTCAACTAGATAATTTTTTTAAAAAGTTGGCAAAAACTGTTTTTACTTTATTAATATACAACGGCAGTTAACTGTTGGGTCTGAGATTTCATCCCCTGGAGGTGGCAATGGAAATTTGTAAGCAAGCAAAGTTAAAATGACACAGTTGAACGGCCCCGCAAACAGTTGCATTTCTCGTGCAGTTATTTTAGAAAACTAATGGTTATATGTAGACTTTGTCAACATCAACTGGCATAACAAGGCACAACAATTCTGGACAAGCATGTGAAGTTTTTTTTTTATTTTTTTTTTAAAGCTACTCGTATAGCAAAACTAACATTAGCCACTCTCTGCAAACGACACTGTTACACATGGGGCTAAGTCAGCAGCATTTAAAATGTTTTAGCAGCTTCAAAAGTCTTTTAAATACTAGAGTATTTCTACGAAAGACCTTTAACGTCTATTCTTAAAAATTGTGCTTTTTCAAATTTTCAAAGGTTTTCTTAGTGTTTTTGATTTTAGACTTGCCAATTTGTAAAACTTTCTGCTCTCATTTCATTAACAAATTAGTCACTAGAAGAATCTTTGCTTAATTTCCAAGCTAATCTGTTAAGCTAAGCAGGTATGAGCTTGTTTCAGAATATGCCTCTGGCATCAAGTGCTGCATTAATCTGAACAGTTAGAAGTATTCATTAGATTATATATTTTATTAAATTAAATTAAATTACTATTTCCGGACGTGACTAACAGGCATATCAAAGTTTGATTGTCATGTGACAAACCAAACATGTGACAAATGATGACTATATAGTTTCTGTTTCTGAATATATGTATAAAATCGGGCTTTCCTGCATTGTGTGGGATGTGTTTTAGTTCCAGATGTCAAGGTGTCAGAATGAGTGGATGAGTATTATTTGCAGGGATGAGCAGGCTTTGTCTCGGCATTGTTAGAGCTGAAGATCATAGCAGCAAAGTTGTTGCTGACCAGTGTCCTATCTGTGGCCTGGTGTCTTTTATTATAGAGTGAAGGCTGAGCCAGGGGGTTGGGGGAGGCATTATGGGACGAGAATTGGTCTGGCCTTTTTTTTTTTTTTTTTTTTTCCTCCCTTTTATCTTTCCTGTCATTATGTCAGCTCTGCAGTATTTAATGACGGCTCATCTCTTCAGGCAGTTTCAGGTTGCACCGCTGTAGGGGGAGGGGGGGGCAGTAGAGGCAGAACAGTTTTTTTTCTTTTCTTTTTCTTTTCTTTTTTTTTTTTTTGATGTCATTGTCTTCTAGAGGCCAGAGACAAGCCTGGCGGATGCCGCAAATACCAACCTGCTGTAATAATGGGGGGAGCACATTTATTATGTTCTAAAAGCAGTGACAGAGGACAGATGAGACGACAGCTAAAGAGCCAGTTGGATGGAAGACCATTTACATTAACATTTAAATTTCATGTAAACGGTCAGATTGGACCAAGGCTTTTATCCAAAGAACTCTTTGTATGATATCTGCCATGCTTCTTGAATCATAGCAAACCACATTCAGAGAGAGACTCCGGATTTCATCTTAATGACATATAAATAAAATAATAATGCTCATGTGCTAGTTCACCAACAGTTTACTGAAATAAAAGTGTTGATTGTAATGATCTCTAAACAATAGGTAGCGTGTGTCAGATATGATAATGAACAATCAGTGTACATATGTAACATATAGATATGAAGGGTTATTTGTTTTAGTTTTTTTTGACCGCACACAAATGTTGATGGACTATACAGGTCAGACTGAGTGGACAGACATGGTAGCCAGTGTTTTCTTGTCAGTGATGTATGTATGGTGACCTCAGCCCCATCCTAAACAGCAGAGTAAATAATTGTCAAACAAGGAGATGGACAAAGGCGTCGCGTGGTGAGAGAGCTGGACCGGATAACCGACCGGCCCCAGCGCTCTGGCCTTTGGACAGAGGCTACATGACCTCTGTAATCCAGCCCCCACCCGCCCCACCTCTCCTGTCACAAACACACACATATCCAATGTCCTCCTCTTCTTGCCATAATAAGTCTGTGACTAATTGTTTTAATTGTGCCTGCAGATTGTGTACTATGTCCAACTCTATTGGCAGCGATATTGCTTTGGTTGGATTAGCTGGATGTTTAACATGTTGGGTGTTGTAGCCTTGTTTTAGGTTTAAGAGTTTACCAGCTTACATCCAGATTTTATTTGAGGTTTTGAGTGTTATGTATGTGACCTATGTCGTTGTAGAATACTGAGAGCAAAACGGTTTGGTTCAATCTTCCTTGTGTCACATAAACTAATGGCCATGAATATTAGCAGAGGACATTTAGATTATAGTTTTGCATGGTTATACATTTGCATGCAGTTGATTTACATGATGCCTGAGTAATTACCCTTTGCAGCCTGATTAGATTTGTAATTTTATTTGCTTAGACTGAATGACTTTTTGTTATGGAGATGCTGAAAACAAGGACAGGGCTGAAAACCTACTTGCCTTAGCATTTCAGGCTTAAGTAAGTCAGTGCAACAAATGAAGCCCAGTCAGAACAGAGAAAAGGCAGAATAGGTGTTCGAGTTGGACGAAGGATGCGTAACACAGGGAAGTGGTAGAGATGCACTCATTGATTACCTGATGACTGGAGTTAGGTGTTTTATTTAAGTTGATCTGCCATGGCTAGCTTGTCAGCCAGAATTGAACAATCATTTTATCTGACGTTCTCATAATGATAACAGTGTAGCCAGTAATGTCACTGCTGCCTTTATGGACTTCTATTCAGAAGATCACTGGTTCAGTTCTAGTCGGAGACAAAAATCCTATTTGGGTTTGTGTCAGAAAGGGAATCTGGCATAAAGGTAGAGGTAGAGCAGATTATCAACCAATTATAAGGTTGGTGGTTTAATCCTTGGCTGCTTCAGTCTGCATGCCAAAGTATCCCTGGGGAAGATACTGAACCCCACGTTGCTCTCCCATGCATTCATTGGCGTGTGGCGTAGAAAAATGTGTATGAATGGGTGAATCAAGCAATTGCGATAGAGCACTACACCACAGAGTGCTACAGTAGAGTAGAAACACACTATATAAGAACAAGTCAACTTACCGAAACTTCTGTCCTTTATATATTGCAGCAATTTCAGTAAAAGTGATGATCATGCCACAGATGGATTTAATGACCAACTCAGTTATGCCAACGTTGTTTACATAAGGTATGCAGTTGTGGAGAAGATGTAAAACTACACCTAGAAGGGATTAAAGAAAATATGCAGC